ATAGAAGACTCCATCAAAGAACTGGATATCTGAGTGCAATCCTACTGCAGTACAAAATCCTTCTTCTGTTGCTTGTACTCTTTAAGCATGAAAGCAGGTGAACAAAAGCGATTAGTGTTAGAAGTCTAAGTTAGTTATTTTTCTATTTTGTAACTGATTGACAGTTAGTTAGTTAGATTAAATTATATATATACATGTATTATTTCTATTCTAATAGATGAGGTATTATAGAGTACATGTATTTCCATTTTCAACATGGTATCAGTTTCCAAGCCATTTCTTTTTGGGTTCTCTATTTGGCCCATTTACCACTAACCGTTCTAGCCTGTCATTCATCTGCAGCAGATTCGTTTCATTTCCAGCAGCCCTCTCATTTTATTTTTCCCTAAATTGATTTCTATTAGGGTTCATGGCGATCACAGTTGATCCAAATCACCCTCTCTTCTTACATCCGTCTGATACACCTTGTTTTCAACTGGTGTCCCTTCAGCTCACTGGCGTTGAAAACTATAGTCTCTGGAGCCGTTCCATGCGTATCGCGCTTCTCGCCAAGAACAAGCTTGGTTTTGTCGATGGAAGCTATCAACGAGACGATTATGAAGGTTTGATGCAGTCTCAATGAGAGCATTGCAATGCTCTTGTACTATCATGGATCCTCAATTCTGTCAGCCATGATCTATCAGCTGGCATCGTTTTTGCCTCGACCGTAGAATCTGTTTGGAAGGATCTTAAGGAGCGTTTTGACAAAATTGATGGTTCCAGAGTTTTTTACTTACATCGGTCGATTGCAACTCTCGTTCAAGGTGACTCGTCTGTCTCCGTTTACTTCACTCGTCTCAAACTCCTGTGGGATGAGTACTCTGCTCTTGTCCCCTTCACTTCTTGCGATTGTGACGCTGCACAACAAAATTCGGCGCATATAGCTCAACAGCGTCTTTTTCAATTTCTTATGGGCCTCAATGAGACCTACTCTGTGATTCGGAGTCAATCCTTATCATGAAACCCCTCTCTACCGTCAATCATGCGTACTCCATGATAACTCAATAAGAACTGCACCGAATCCAATTGTCTGCTACACCTCTTGAAGCTTCTGTCATGTTCACAGCCGCCTCCAAAGGAAGTGAATGAAGGCGGTTCAATGGAACCTGCGAGTACTGCAAGGTCAAGGGACACAGCCGTGATCGGTGTTATCGTTCTAATTGGTTTTCCACCAGACTTAAAGTTCAACAGAAAGAAGGCTTCTCCGGTTGCTATGATAGCCAATTCTGTACACATAGTGATGGAGGGACTGAGAATAATTTAACGATTTCCTCTCCTGTCTCGATTGTTCCCACCTTTACCTCTGAGCAATACAATCAGATCTTGCATCTGTTGAACAAAAGCTCAACCGTAGATTCTAGTGTGAATCTTGCAGGTACTGTTGATTGTAATTTAACTTCTTTCAGCAATGCTTGCGTTCGTTGGATAGTTGATACTGGTGCAACTGATCATATTTTGTTTGATTTCAAGGGTTTTCAATTTCCTGTTTCATGTTCTGTCTATCGCTATGTTGAGCGCACAAAGCATATAGAAATTGACTGCCATTTTGTAAGGGAGAAAATACAAGAAGGGCTTATCAAGACAGAGTTTGTATCTTCTTCAGAGCAATTACAGATATATTTACTAAAGCTCTTGGTGTACAACAACATGAATATCTTGTATCCAAGTTGGGGGTAAAAGATATCTTCTACCCACCAACTTGAGGGGGAGTGTTAGAAGTCTAAGTTAGTTATTTTCTGTTTTGTAACTGATTGACAGTTAGTTAGTTAGATTAAATTGTATATATACCTGTATTATTTCTATTTTAATAGATGAGGTATTACACAGTACATGTATTTCCATTTTCAACAACTAGCAAATTTCTGGATTCTTCCTTCTTCATATAGGAACTACATGTTATTCACATTCTCAAAGCCGATTTACTTGTTAAGGACATTAACATGTGTTCATGAACAATTGATAACATAAAATGTTAAATATTGGCCAATAAATCGAGAACTGAACACCCTGTTGTCACGGATTCACTTGATAAGTAGAATACTCTTTTGAAAACTTTGGAGGAATAGAAAAAACAAAAACTATTTGTTTTATACACTGACCAAAAATAAAATTTAAGACAATATTACCACTCTAAAATATGGCTTTAGTGTCAGTTTGTCAAAGGCAAATGATGTGGAACGGAAACTTAACCTGTAATACTAAAACGTATTGCATGCTAAAAGATAACATAATAAACAATTATGTCTTCAAGAGAGTGGAATAATTGCAGCTAGTATACAAAAGATTAAGAAACTTCATTTCACAAAGACAAAATTAAAGCATTAACTTGCAAATAACAAAACTCCATAAGATTCTAAATGCAAGAGAAGTCATATACAGGATACAAAGTTTCCCTAAGAACTTCCAAAGAAAGAACATGGAGCTCAAAATTTTCCAGCAATGTGGTTTGCTCACTGCATAAAAATTAACAACCAGAATAAAAGATCAAGAAAAAGAAGTAGGTATAAAATGTTCAGTTAAAACTTCAAACAATTTTCTTCAAGCATTTAAGGAATAAAAAATATAAATTTAAGGCTTTCAGAATGGAAAGAATTAATGAACATTTCTTAAGATCCTTATGCTTCAGCTTCCCAAAGAAAACAATACAATTCCAACATAAACTAAGCATAAATAAAATAGCCTACTCTTCTATCACCAGACAAAAGCCAAGTTTAGCAACCCTAGACCCACTTGGATAATGTGGAAACATATAAATAACATATGTTTACAAGTAGCCATTAATTAAACAGACAAAAAAAAAAGATTTAAATGTAGGATACATAACAGAGTAGAAATTTAATAAAATGTAAACCAAGAACTTAGAGTGTAGAAAATACAGATTGTAATGAAGAGAAAACAGTAAACTTTCTCTATTTTCAGTTTAATAATTTCATTTAAAACATAAGTCTTTTATAGAGACTTAATACGTAAAATTTCACTTTAAATATGACTACATTAGATATTAGATGTTATAGACTTAGAGTAATATTAAGCAACTATGAGATAATTACAAAATAGTCTTTAATCTATAACTAATTATCTACAAGTCTACAATCTACACTCCTGCTGAAACTGGTGTCTATATATTGCAGAACCTCAGCTTTGATATTATTTTTCTAAGCTATCTCTTGGTAGTGTCTTAGTAAGAACATCAAATAGCTGGTCTCTGTAGAAACAAAAAAAAAAACAGTTTCACTCCTCCATGATTGAGATTCTCTAAGATGAAATGTCGATAAACATCCACATGCTAAGTCCTATCATGGTGGACTAGGTTTTTAACAATACTTATTGTTAATTGGCTATCGATGTTGAGTTTAATGTTTTCACATTGGTTAAGCCCTAATTACGTAAGTAGTCTTTTCAGTCATATACCTTCCCAAATTTTAAATGCTAAAGCTTTATGCTCAGTCTTAGAATTATTGTTTGCTACAACTGACTACTTCTTGTGCATCCATGTTGTTAAGTGTATAAAAGTACTATATTTTCTACCATTTTCCCATAATTATTGCTAGATCCAGTCTCTTTTTATCTGCATTATTAGTTATTCATGCATGATTCCATAATTTTCCTTCAATGCTGAGTCGATCTTACATTTTATCTCTTTTTGTGGAAAACATGTTGGTGTGTGTTATTTTTTGCAGGACAATGATGATTGGATAAATCCACCTCACTTAAGATAAACACGAAAAACAAGGAATAAATCTTAAAAGATTGGATTTCCAAGCAGAATTTAAAGAGGAGAAGAAGTCTAAATTGTAAGAAAGTTTGAGGATAAAGATAAAATGGAATTAATAGCTCTTTTATTCCAACTAAAACTCTCATTCAACAACAATCAAACTAACCTAATCATCTATAAATAAGAAAGAAATCACAATCTATAGGAGGGTGAAGAACTAGAAAAAAAAGCTGAGTGCACATCTTCTTCATTGTTTCTTCTTGATTTGTGTTGGGGAATTTTATTTTGTATTTCTTTTGCACTCAGTCATCAACTAAACTAAATTGGCTTGGGTTGTTAGGTTTTTGTGTTTGTGAAAACCTTTGGATTGTTTAGGTTCATTGATTGTAGTTTAATTTCAAAGTTTGTTCATTCTTGTTTCTTAATTTGATTTTGAGTGAATGGGAGAGAATCTAGAGAATTGTCCATTTATCTAATACCGAGAGAGTTCGATTCAAGAAATGAATGAGCATGATCTTCATTCAAAAAGGAATGTTGGTGAAGGTTTATCCATCTTAGGGATATGATTCAGATTTCAATGGATAAAAAGAGCGCAAGATCGATTATTGTTCATATATGGTTAACTTATAGATGTATCACCAAGGCATGCACAATTGGCAAGTTCTTCTGGTTAGGGATGACAAGAAGACATTGAAGAACGTTTCGCCGAGCTTTGAAGGAAGGAACCTAGTTGCTTAGGCAATTGAACCATTTTTAGTTAACAAGAGAATCGAGTTACCTTGGTAATCAATTACCTAGACTATCCAAACGGTCATCACACCGCAACTCACGATAACTCGACCTGTTCTCTTATTTGATCACAATATACTTTTATTTACTTGATTATTTATTTTACTTATTATTCAAACTTCTACTATTACCAATTTATTTCTTTTACAGTGCAATAAGTTAAATATAGAGTTACACCAATCCATTTGGAGAAAATATCTATTCTATACTATAACTTGCGATGTGTACACTTGCACCAATTACGAAGCACTTAAATCATTCAATAAGTTTTTGGCGCCGTTGTTGGGGATTGAAAATAGTGAATTTGATTTTTATTTCTCACACCTTAATTTTTTATTTTATTTTGTTTTTTTTATATTCAAGGGGATTATAATTTTTTGGTTTTGCCTCTGTGTATGAACAGGATGAGACCAACATCACCATAATAAACATTTGAACCCGAAATAGAGTAACAATAAATTGCATAATGATATTACTTCTTTTCGGCAGGCATATGATGAATCATGCATGAGGCTTGGGAGCGATACAGGGAGCTTTTGCAGAAATGTTTCACTCATGGATTCCAAATATGGACACAAGTGATAATGTTCCATAACTCACTGAATACATCAACAAGGGTAATGCTAGTTGCTTTGGCAAATGGTATACTCCTCGACAAGTTACCGGATAAAGCAATGGAGATCTTGAACCATCTTTCCAAGAATGATTATCATTCCCAACTACTATAAGATGAGGTGTCATACGTAATGCCACAAAAAACGAGCTTGATTCATTGGACACTATTTTCACGCATTGGCTACCTTAATCAAATTGGTTAAGAATATGCAGTGACCTAGCAATCCAAAAGAGATCAAGGTAGTAAATTCATTTTGTGATATATGTAATGGTAATCATGATTCTTTTGAGTGTTCACGGAACCCAGAATCTAACTTCTATGTTGGAGACTATAATTGGAACTACAATGTGATGTCCAACACAAATACTCCAACCTGGAAGAAGCACCCTAATTTCTCATGGAGTAACCCGAACAATGCTCTCAATCAAACAATCAGAATACACAAGCATCGAGATTCCATCAGAACATGCCAAGGCAACAGATGTCGCAACAACAATCAACACCATCTAGTTCTTTGGAAGATTTTCTCCAATTTTTTTATGAAAAAAACTAAAACTTATCATAGTTAAGAAGAGTAATTTCATGAAAAGGACCGATACTTTTATTAACAGGAATGAGATGAGGCTGCAGAAATAAGAGGCAGCTTTGAAAACTTGGAGACACATGTTGGACAACTTGTGCATATTTTGAATACAAGACCACTAGGCGGGTTAACCAACTATATTAAGGTCGCAAAGGGATTAGGCAACAAGTGTAAGGTAATCACCACTCGGAGCGGACGAAAGCTAACTGAAACCCATACACATCCCACAATGAGAACTCAAGCAGTAGAACAAACCCATATCCAGAAAGATGCATCCAACAACAATGTTCTTGCTACAAATTCCAGATACCGCAGTAAATCCATCGATCAATTCCAAATAGACGAGAAGGATAAGGAGATAAAAAATCCACCACCATTCCCTTAGAGGCTGAAAAGAAGAAACAATAATATTTTAAGAAAATTTAGACATCTTGAAGCAAGTCTATATCAACTTTCCATTGGTTGAGGTGTCGAGAAAATGCCGAATGACTCTAAGTCCTTTAAAGACATTGTCTCTAAATGAATAAGGCTAGAAGAGTTTGAAACAATTGATGTGATAGAGGGATGTATGCCCATGTTGGATAATTGAATGCCACGCAAACTAAAAGATCCTGAGAGTTTCACAATACCATGTGCAATCGTAATCACTACATTGGGAAGGCGTTATACGACCTTGGAGCGAGCATAAATATTATGCCTAAATCTATTTTCCAATTATTGGGTATCGAGAATGCGAGACCTACGACAGTTATGCTACAACTTGCCGACATATCCTATGTGCAACCAGAGGGAAAAATTAAAGATATATTGCTAAGAATTAATAAATTTATTTTTCTCGCTAACTTCATTGTTCTAGATTGTGAAGCAGGTGAGTTCACACCTATTATCCTTGGAAGACCATTCGTAGCAACAAGAAGAACCTTTTGATGTCAAAAGGGGGTAACTCACTATTAGAGTGAACGACTAGCAAGAAAAAATGGATGTTTTTAATACCTTAAAGTATACTGACGATCCAGAAGAATGCCAAGTCATTCACGCCACCACTAAATGCAATTTTAAAGTAGAGGAGAATTACCACAACAATTTTATTGATGGAGGAAGTTGAAGAGCTAGAAGATGAAGAATAAGATGAACAAAATTGAATAGTAAGTCAACCAGGTAAATATTTCAAACCATTGAACTACCCAGTAAGGAAGGTAAACTCAAAAAATCTTTTGAGTAACCTTCCATTTTAGAACTAAAATCATTGTCAGGGCAATTAGTATTGCTCTTCAATCCTTGATTAATATTTTTGAGATGGTCCAGACCATTTAAGGTAGTGAAACCTTTCTCCCATGGTATCGTAATGATCAAGTCCACCATCGATGGACATGAGTTTAAAGTTAATAGACAACGATTAAAGAACTATACCAACACCCATGTTGAGCACGACAAGGAAGTGGTTACCCTCGGAGATGCATGAATATGTTCTCCTTTGATATTTTTTTTATTTATTCAATTTTTTTATTTTCTCTTTTAAGTTGCATCTGGATCTCTATTTATTTTAGTCTTTATCTGTTAATTTATTTTTTTATCCTTATTTAATTTATATTTTTTTCTTTGAATTTTAGGATACGAGTTCAAAAATAGGAAAAGTTGGACTAAAGGATGGAGTTTATCTTTTGAAGAGACTAATGGGGTTAATTTTGAGGGATTACCCTATTTTCCAGCCACCTAACCCTTTGAATTCCCTTTAATTTCCCTTCACCGTATTTTCACTCCATTTTTACTCCATTGCTTTCCCATCCACTCTTGATTGGAACCTTTACTCATTTATATTCTTTGAACTCTAAGTTTTTCTTTAAATACCATTGTTTCCTTTCACTTTACAACCTTACAAAAAAAAACCATGACTACAAATTTTAAAAACATGATATACCCGATGTCTTCTAAATGCTTCAAACCACTAGTAACATGCTCCCAACCACCGCGAGCCAACAAGCGAACCAAACAACCGGCTAGAAAGACACTCATCAATCAAGTGACGACCTTTCTGACTAACCCATTTGCTTTGCATTGTATTAAGGACAATGCCCCTCTCAAGTTTGGAGGATTGTTTTATAATTAGTTGCATTCAATTAGTCATCCAATAAAGTTGCATATAGCTTCATATATTACTTGCAATGGCTTTTGTTTGATTAAACTACTTAGACTTATTAATATCAAAAGATGAACTTTTCCACTACACTTAATTGATAGAACCTTTAATTTTAGGTTTTGCACGATAATACTTAGGATTTTACTATGATGATAAATATAATTTGACATGGCTGTTACTTGTTGATTAAGGGACACTTAGTGAAATTAGGTTGCTTAAAAAGTAGGTAAATTTAAAAGAAAATTATGAAAATAATTTCTTGCTACAGGTGCTCGAAACCGGCTCTAGTTATTATACATTAAGAATTGCTAGAGGTGCCCAAAATTGGCTCTAGTTGTTACATTCAAGAAACATTAGACGTGCCCGAAGTTGTCTCTAGTCGACTAAATTTTTTTGCTTTGCTAGAGGTTCTCGAAATTGGCTCTAATAAACAAATAAAAGTTTCGATAAATAATTTGATAAAACCTATTGTTCACATGAAGTCTTATTAGTTGACTTGTACACAACTACACACAGAAATTATCACGAGCATCATAGTTTGATTCCGAGTAATTTTTGTGCTATCCCAAAAATCAAAAGGTCATTATACTTTGTGCCACGATTAAGAGGATTGAATTAAAAATGAAGCATGTTTTTCATGGTCGAGGTCTTAGCAGGTAATTATTAGTTTTGCATTGCTTTAGGACAAGTCGTAGTTTGAGTTTGAGGTATGTTAAGTGTATAAAAGTACTATATTTTCTACAATTTTTCCTTATAATTATTGCTTGATTCAGGCTCCTCTTATCTACATTATTAGTTATTCATGCATGATTCCATAATTTTCCTTCACCACTAAGTCGATCTTAACTTTTATCATTTTTGTGGAAAAGATGTTGTTGGTGTGTGTTATTTTGTGCAAGATAATGATGACTGGATAAATCCATCACACTTAATATAAGAACGACAAAACAAGGGATAAATCCTAAAAGTTTGGATTTCCATGTAGAATTTAAAGAGGATAAGAAGTCTAAATTGCAAGGAAGTTTGAGGATAAAGATGAAAGAGAATTAATAGATCTTTTATTCCAACTAAAACTCTCATTTGATAACAATCGAATTGACCTAATCATTTCCTATAAATAAGAAAGAAATCACAATCTGCAAGAGGGTGGTCGACTAGAAAGAAAGGTTGAGGCAAATCTTCTTCATTATTTCTTCTTGATTCATGTTGAGGAATTTTTATTTTGTATTTCTTTGCACTCAGCCATCAACTAAACTGAATTGGCTTGGGTTATTGGGTTTTTGTGGTTGTGAAAAAATTTGGATTTTTTAGGTTTTTTTTAAACAGGGTAATTTGTATTAAGGAGTGTTACAAAGTACACCACCTCAAGGACCTCATTAAAAAACCTCCCTAAACCTAGTTGGAGGAAAAAGAGTGAACCTTAAGGTGGTAAGGATGAAATACACAACAAATTCTAATTTTTCACAGCCCACACACACTCAACACACACCAAAAACAAACCAATGAAAAATAGAGGACTATAACTGGAACAAGAGCGCATACGCCTACACCAATGCAAAAAAACAACAACTGGACGAACCGACAATAGCAACCCGAACTAAAACTATGCCAGGCACTGTGAGTTGGATATATTCACTTTCTGAATCAGAATAGCAGCTCCCAGAATGCATAGGATTGCAATAGTCTCGAGCACGAACAAAAGCTTAAATCCAAGAAATGAAACATCTAGAGAACACCCTCTCTCCCACATCAACTGGCCTAGAAGGAGTTTGAAGTCTCTCAACTAACACAACTAATATAAACGAACCCATACCAAGGATAACAGGAAGACACTGGCGTGGAAAGGCGACTAACGACAAACACCGACTGCTGAAACGATTAACTACAATCTCTCAAACACCTTCTCTCTTGAAGCTGAAAAATCCACACCCAGAGCATCACCAAATGCTAAAGTTGCTTCAGCTTCAAACACACAACCCAAACGACACCCGAAAATATCCCCACCACGGTTTTCACTATCTATCATTGAAACTCTAGGATAATACAACCCACTCCGGCCAACATATTCGACTTCTTCCTTTTGAAAAATGAATTATCTTGGAAGCACTCATCACATGCTTGGAAAAAAGCCACCTCTTCCAACAGGCGCATACTGCATCATGGAATAAAGAAATAGAAATAGAATGGGCAGCCACCACTAATTTGAAACTGTAAAAAAAACTCCAT